GTTGCTGTTTCAGCCAGGGGTATGCTTTTGTAGCCTGTCAGATAACAACAATGAACTTTCAAGGCTAAGCAGCATGGTACATATTCAGTGTTGGTTACTGTTTGTGGTAAAGACACCATTTTGGGTGCAGGGAATACTTACTTTTTCCTACACTACTTTGTTTCTTAAAATTAAATACTCACAGTTCCATATTTTCTTTACTCTTGAAGATACGGAATTTTAAATGTGTGTATAGATTAGACTAAAACAGATTTCAGCACATGTTGAAGTGAACTGAATGTTTCAAAATTTAATTGTTGTTTTATATATTTCTTCCACAAATGAAATTAATTGTAAATGCCCTTATGGCTGGCTGAGGTTCCAAAGACAAACTAGTACTTTTCTACTGCAATACCACAGTGGGTTTGTTTTCAATATGTGATTCACCATAGTTCCTACCATGCTGTAGCAGCACAATGCTGTTATGAAAATACTGAGTTTGCTACTATGTAGAGTATGTGCTTTGACAGTTTCCTAACATACTTGGAAATGCAGATTTGTAAGAAAATTAGACAAATCATTTTCCCTATAAATTAAAAGTGTAATTAATTATGTTTGAACAGAATGCCTCAGTGTCTTTCAGTGCTTAGGCTGAAATTTAAAACCTTTCATATTTTGTGAGAGGAAGAAGAAGCAAAGGAGGTAAGAAAGATTTTTTTAAAGCTTGAACAGTGTGTGTTCCTGTACGTTCTTCATAATCAAAATGGAAGAGATTCTTCAAAGCAAAAGATGTAAAACAGCAGTAGTGGTCACAATGCATCTTGTTCAATTATGAAGCATTCTGCTCTGTAATACTGGAAAATTTATTTTGTAAAAAAAAATCTGAAATTCAAAAAGTGAATTTTAGTTACATGTTAGTCTACCTCTTTTTGAACTCTGTGAATACTGGAGAAAAATTAACCAGGTAATTTTCCAAGTCATTTTGAAATGTTCTTTAGGTTTGTGGTACCTGCTTAGGAACTGAGGTCTGAAGTGGCTGTAAAAGCTGGACTGTGTCTGGCTGCTGACTGTCTGCCTCATGGACCACAGCTCCGGGTGCTTGTTGGCTGCAGTCTTGTACTTAGGATAGAGGCGATAGCTTGCTGTCTGTTAGTATTTTGCAAGGGAAACTTGAAATATCAAGTGCTTTATAACTGAAAACGTGTTCATCATGTATGCTGTAGGTTTTCCATTACTTGTGGTTTTTCAGAAAGGGAGGCTAAAGGGAAGGGGAAGGAAAACTCCTTTCATATAAATGGGACCTACCCTTGATCTAGCCCATTAGTTAGTCTTGTATTTGCATCTCTTCCTCCTCTTTGGCTGACATCAGCGTTTATTTTTATACTAGGAGTTCACTTGGTTTGTGGCACACGTTTACTGTCGCGAAGGTAAATATTTACTCATGTAATAAACTTGTTCTTCCCTGTCCTCTGACCTTGGGTTAACCTGTTCATATCAGCTCCAGTTTTGGCTTTCGGGTAATTGTTTCAGCCATGTTGTTAACCCATGCGGGCTGACTGGTGCAGGCATGGTTGGTCTGTCTTAAGTTGCCAGCTCTATACAATGGACAGTATACTATGCGTATGGGACAATGCAATATACTATTTCGATTCAGCTGTCCAACTGTAAGACTATCTCATGTTGCCATAGATCAGATTTCATTCAGTGAGTTAACGCTGTCATTTACAAAGCAGTAAAATTTTAAATTTGTTATGCATGTGTGTACAATTAATTTGTGGTTGAAAGAAGGCTAAATGTTAAGTAATCTGCCTTGCCTATGGTATGGGGCTGTTACTCAAAGGGTAAAGATGAGGCTTCTTCTGGAAGCAGTGGGTGAAAAGACCTGCTTCTCTTCTAATTGAACTTAGCTCTTCACTGATATCTTCATGCTAAATGTCTGCTGAAAAATAGTGTAATCATTTTTTGGCCTTTAAAATAAACTGGTGGCACTGATGTAGATAATCATATATTTACAGAATTGTATATTTCTGCAAATGTTTTGAAATCCAATCAATTTAAATAGAATTATTAAAATGGTGTTTATTACTTATGATAGATACTGCTCCAGACTAGTAAAAATATTCACCAAGTATAGACTCAAAATTATAGCTAGTTTACCTTTTTGACGGATGTTTTCATTAATAGTGCAGTTTAAGTAACTGCATTATCAATGTGGCTAGAACCCCTGGCCATAGACTGGAGCCTGCTGAGCTCATCTTAAATACTTCAGGACTGACCGTGTGTTCTTTACCTTTTTCTACTATTTCTCTAAGTAAAGGCAAGTGTTGCTTCATAAAACTCAAATGCTCCAACTGTACAAGTCTAAATGAAGTATGGTATCTGCACTGCTTAACATTTAAGGAAATAGTAAATTCTTGAAATATCAGTGAAATATCCTAGAGACTGGAATAAACCACAATAGTTCATAGCTATAAAGACATACAGTGATTCTGGTGTGACAATCATACATGTGATTGCATGGTGTTTGGTTTTATTTTTAAATAATATCTTCCTGTCTTTGATAAAAATAGACAAATAAGTACTTTCTTTCTTTTCCTTACTTTACATTTTTACTTTGAGTTGTCCTCAAACTATATTGAGTGTCTGGCACCATTGAATTTCAGATGTGACTTGGTAGAGAATTTTTCTCTAAAATGCTAGTTGCTCCCATGGTTGCTCCTTCTCAGTATTGAGAATATATATATAAATTTTAATATATATAAAAATACATAATTGTAATACATAAATATAGACAATATTTATTCATAGACTATGATATGTAGAATATAATAATATATATATTTTATATATATTTGGTGTCTGATTGTTAATTCCACTCTTGATCATGGGTTTTTAGATGAACTTCATTGTGCATTTTGATTTTTCTCTGGAGATTTTTTTTTTCCTATTAAAAGAAAGCAGTGCATTAGACAATTATTTAGATCTCACTATCTTAGGAAATCTTGCAAGTAATGCTAGCTAGCCTTCTCTTGCCTTGAATTTTTTTACTATTTTTTCACTTAACTCTTAACATTGATATTTAATGTAGCATTGTATTTTTCAGTGTAGCTGTCTAAATTCCATTCTGCACCTGAAATGGCAAAAGTAGCTCTGCACATCATGTATTTGGAATATGTTCGAGAGTTCATGGAATGTAGAAGAGTAATGAGATTCTAGAACAAGTTCGTAAGAGTTTTTTTCTAGTCCTTTTGATGTTGAGTTTTAGAGTAGAAGAGAAGGGAATATAGAAATGTCATAATTATGGAATTGTAGTGCATCAGAAGACCTTGGTTATTGATAACACTTTCAGAAAACCTCATATTTCTGTATTTGTGCTACATATCCAGAAATGATAGTTTGACCTAAGTTGAAGTGATACAAGCAAGTCTCTTTTCATGATGAAGGTGGTCAAGCATTGGTACAGGTTTCCTAGAGAGATTGTGGAGTGTCCATCCACGGAGCTGTTCAGAGCATGGCTGGCCATGAGCCTGATCAACCTGATAAAGCTTTGAGGTTGGTCCTGCCTTGAGCAGGTGGTTGGGCCCTGATGACCTCCTGAGGTACCTTCCAACCTAGGCTGTTCTATGTTTCTGTGTCTGTAACCATTACTTCCCGCTAAAGCTGTGTGTCATTCCAAGTTCAAGTGAAGCATATTCGGATGGTCTTGACAGTTGTGTAGAGCATGAGAGAGAAATTTAAGTCTTGGTGTCTTGAAGTTAGTGAGTTGCATGTTCATGTTAGGCCAGAAGGCTGCTTTTTTTTTTTTTTTTTTTTAAAAAAAGCATTTAGTGTTTGGAAACAGAGTATTTTTTTTTAATGTCTGGTTTGTAAGCATTTCCATTACTAACGTCTTTCTTGGGGTGGTGGTGGGGGAGAGCCTTCAAGTCTGATTATTAAAGTTTTGGGAGGGTTGTTTTGTTTTCTGGGATTTTGGTATGAAAAATTCTTCAATCATGTTCTTGATTACAGGCATGCCCCCACTATTGCTGCTGTCTTACTTAAAATAGGTAGCTACTTGAACGTCTGCCTTTCTTCCTCTTTCTAAATTAGTGTGCAGCGATAAACTGCAATACAATTTTTACTGCTGCTTCCTCTTTTCTTGGTAGCTATGCGTCAAAGGCATCTCTTCATATCTCCACATTTGACAGATGTTCCTGTTCTTTTCCTAGTAAAGAGAGATTTCTTCTGAATTTTAAAGAAATAAACAGTTGTCTGGTGCAATACTACTACAATATGGTGAGCTGACATTCTCGTTTTACATCTTCAGGAGCCGTCGTGAATCTAAGCAGTCTTATTGAGCACCTGCTTCTTGCTCTCTTACTAACAGTGCACAGAAAATCCTTTGGAATTTTGATTAAGGAGGAGACAACTGGGACTAGGAACTGCAATTAGCAAGAAGAGGGAGGCAGTGGGGAGTGGAAATTTGTGGAGGAGCTAAAAATGATACGGAGCCTCCTTAAAGGTCATGGAATCCTTACTTGCATACCTAGCAAAACTGGAATGGCTTTGGCTTGAATAGCACATGGGTCATGCTGATCTTAAGCCTCTCTAGATATAACGCACAAACGAGAAATCTTTTTACATACCCCTTGTAAGATGCAATATCCAGAAAGTGATAACTTTTTTACTCCATTGATTTTCCATGTGCTGCCAATCATAAATACTTTACATTAAAGTGTATGCATACCTTGTTGGCAGGTTCATGTAATTACTGAAAATTAGTGCGCTTACAAACCATTCATACTTTTTAGGCATGTGAAGAACTAATACAATATAATTAAAGCAGCTATTTATGATCATAATTTTCAACGTTTTGCCCCCAAACTACGTAGACATATGTATTGAAAGAACTAGTTCTTTTTTCTCCAAGATAACTGTGTTTTAAGATTCAGAAGTGGGTACCTAGAAGTGTTCTTGTTGATTATTTTTTGTGTGTGTGGTTTTTTTGTTTTTGTTTTACTCATGAGATAACTCTGCTTCCACTGCTAAATGCTGCTCCAGCCCATCATGGCAACTTAGGAATTCCTTACGCTGACTTCCGTAAGTGAGAAGTCAGACCTGTCTGTCTTCTGTAAGATGGACTTTAAATGGAAGCATCTTAGACTTCTAATTGTCTCTTGTTTTGCTGTGTTCTTTTGAGTGCACCTCTTTTCTGAGTCTCTCTGCGAGTTTGTTCTTGTGTGCTGAGATAACCTGAAAATGAAAGGAGGTTCTCTTTGAGGTTTTATTAGCCAGAAAGGAAAAATTTTCATCCCCACTGACTGGAGTGGGAGCCTAGTACTTGACAAAACCTGATGAGTGCAAAATCTGTAGGAGGGTTACACTTGGTCTCTTTGAGATGTTCACTGGAGATAGGCATGTGTCTCCATGTCATGTTTTCCAATCTGGTCCTGTGTACCTCTGTTTTACAGAATGGAAATTTTGTCGGGTTCTTTTCATCCTATTGCTGTTCTTTAGGGGATTTTTTGAATGGGAAGTTTAAAGGCAGTGAAAAGGAAGAGATTTTTACTTTTGGTAACTTGTCAAGTATTTTGTGTGTGTCTTGTCTCTGTGCTTTTTTTTTTAATAACATATAACAATCTTATTTACAGAAAGAATATCTTTTTTTTTTTTTAAAGGTTATCATTTCCTGATTTTTCTTTTTTTTCCCCTCTTAATAGAAGTTTGCAGATGTTAAGATTAATACGAGTGTGCAGTTGCAAAGACAAATGACCTTGTGCTCTAACTGTATTCTTGTCCCATTTTCTTTAGGCCACTGAGGAGGTCTCAAAAAACCTTGTTGCCATGAAGGAAATCTTGTATGGCACAAATGAGAAAGAACCACAGACAGAAGCTGTGGCACAGCTTGCCCAAGAGCTGTACAACAGTGGTCTTCTTAGTACCCTAGTAGCCGACTTGCAGCTAATTGATTTTGAGGTAAGAAAAGAAGTTTGGCAGTTCTTATATTGTATATGTTAAAATAAACACATGTGAATTTGTGCCACTTTAATTGGTTAGGACATCTTTCGATCTTCAGCTTTTCTTTCTGTCTGGGACAAAACCATTAGAAAGAGAGCTCATTGTTCCAAACTACCTGGAAAATTAAGCAAATACAGAGTATGAAATCTGTGAATTTAGGCACATAAACCACACAAAATTGACATACATAAACCTCTAATCTTAATGACACAGTTCTGTTAAAATTATGAAATAATTCTTAATTGTTGTTTACACAGAAGGATTAATTTCTTAAAAGTAATACTGTAGTGAACACAAGCTATAACACTACAAGGCATGTCTGTATTCTCATCTCATTAAATTAAATTACTTGGAAAAGTCAGAATTATTGTAACATTAATGAAGAATTTAAAATATTTTAAGGTAAAGCTGTTAGTTTTATTAACAGCACAGTATTTCTCTCTTTCTTTAGAAACAAATGATGTAACTTTTTTTTGGTTTTCCTCATCTTTTTTCTGTTTATTGAAAAAACAACCCAAGTTTTTATTGATTACTTCAAAGTAGCAATACTTACTTATATACAAATGTATCTCTATATAATATAAACGACTATCTGGCATTTGTCACCACATCACATGCAATAATTTAGCTTCGCAGTGCCATAGTGAAAAATCACCCTATTTAGTTATAAGAAATTGCAATACAATTGGATTTTCCTGTTTTCCCTGAGGTCCCACAAGAAGCATGCGGTTGTCTAGGAGAGGAGCCAAACCCCAGGTATCTCACTCCACAGCCTTGACTATAAAGACCATCCCACTTAAGGTTGCTTAAAAACGAGCTTGTTCATAAACAAGTTGTTCACAATGCAAACACAACAGTTTAAAGTCCTGTTGTAGTAGGACATTCCAAAAACAATGGCTTTCTTCCCTGTTCTTTCTTCTGTCCCCTCCACCCCACCCATAAGTCCCTCTGATTTGTGTTTAGTTGTAATACAGTGATATTTTTTCCCTACCCACACAACTGTTTATACCAAACATAAAACATTAACGTTGTTAAATAAGCAAGGAGACCCGGGAAAGCTGAGAGGGAATGCTGAAATCTAATGGCCTTTAATTGCCTAAGAAAGGAAATCATGGAACGTCATCTGAAGTCTGCTGACCTCTAGATTCTTATCAGCTTGGTGCTTACTCAGTCCAGTTATTAGTGAAGGAAACCTTCGTTATCTCCTGATAATGAAGAATGGTAACAGTTTGTACAGGCTTGTTCTCATTAAGGAGAACTATTCATTTTATTCTAAGGGGACTTGAAAAGACTGCGAGTAGTTTCCTGCTTGTGGACTTTCTGCTGCTTTGTTACAGAAGGATATGATGGTTCCCCCTTGAGAGAGAGCAAGTCATTCACGCTGCTTTCTAGACTGGACCACGTCTGCTTTTTAAGGATGAGATCTGGCAGACTGTCCAGTTATTGTTACTTAGAATTAATGTCAACACACCTGTGCTCCAAATGTGCACTAGCTTCCCAGCTGTTACAAAGTCAATCCGATGTTGGCTTTGGTATCCCAGATCTCTGTGGTTGAGGGTTTACTGCATTTGACATGATTTCTCCATTACCGATGGAGATACAAACTTGAGTTCCTGTTGGTTCTTAAACTTGAAGTGTAGGTCTAGCATTTACTCATTCTGGTGCCCCACCACAGCTTGAGGTCATTCAATGATGAACAAAATGTCTTTGTTTGTTTTTGTCAAGAACGTCACTCTCATTCCTGAAGAAGGTTTCCTTGTAGAACAGGAACGGACAGCTAATTAATACACAGGGACGGTGCACTCTGACTCTTAAACTGTCTCACATGTATTTGAATCTGAATAGTATGGTAAAAAAACCCAGAAAAGTAATGAAGTGAAAACCAGAAAAGAAACAAATTTAATGTTTTAATTAAGAAAGTGTCTGACTGTCCAGACTTTGCTGTATGTAAAGGCCTGTTTAAAATGATAGTCTTATCTGGAAGCTTGCTTTCCAAGCAAAGCAGTCAACACAACCGTCTACTTACCAGTCTTACAAACTTACCGGTTACTTCCCTGCTGATTTGTGCCTAGTGTGTCTGTAGGAGAGATGGAACTGTGGAACTGGGTTTTTTGTTCTTGTTTTTTTCAAATGAAGAAAAAAAAACCCCAAAACAAAAACGCTTTTGGCATAAAGGAGCCTGAATCCTTCTGCTCAGAAGACAATAGTAGCACAGTCTCCCTCTCACCTCTCGCAGTCGTGACTATTGGCACAGGGTTCAGTGCCTGTTTGCCCTTGTTAGACCATGAGATCACTTAGTAATACATCCTTCTAACAATAACTAGCTTTGGTATTACTGTGTACCATTACCAGTTCAATTATGTGCATAATAAGGAAATGCTGTTCTTGCTGGTGAATCCAAAGCAAATTGTGAGATCCAGTGCAAAATTGGCAATGTTAGTGAATGAGAGTTGATGACTATATTATGTGGAGTTTGAGTAAAGCAATTTCTGGAAACACTGCTCTACTTATTTCAAAACAAAGAGTTCTGGTGTTGCTTTGGGCTGGCTTTCAATGGAATTGTAATGGAGAAAACAAGCGTTTACAAACAAACTCTTATATCCTGAAAACAACACTCTAACAAAACTGTCCGTGGTAATTCACAAACATGCCGTTTGTAAAACTACAGTCCTCCTACGTTTTTATAAACATTCGGGTTTTTTTCTTATGCAATCTTCTTGACGTTGATTAGAAAACTGAAATAATTTTGCATAATTGCTGCTGTTTTTAAAATTCTTGCTAATTAAGTATGCTCTGCATTTTACTCAAAAACTTGCTGATGTTACTCAGGGCTTTTATAGTACAACTAGAGATGTCAGGAAGCATTATCTATGTATAGTTTCTGTGTATAACATTCAGGGAACATTCAGGTGGAGTTGCTTAATAGACCATTTATTTGCAAATCCAGACTTAGTACAAGTTTGCCTAGGCTTTTTCTGGATTAGATCTAGTAACACGTAGTCCTGAAGTTGTCTTTATGGCAATCCTAAATGGAAAATTAATTGCAGAAATCTGGCTTTTAAATGGTGCATGTGAATGACAGTGGAAAGTGCTTATATTTATAATCATTTTTTTGTTAGATGTCTGTAACAATTTGTCATCTTTAGCTATGGTCTGACAGAAGAAATAAATAGGAGACTTCTGTATATGTTCAACAGAGAACATTCCCAGCTCCTTTTATACTGTTTGGTGCTATTCTTGTGCATTTTTATGTGTATAGTCTGTGCGGAATTCCAGTATCCTGGTCTTATTTATGCTTCTTTTGTGCACATAAAAATGTGAGACTTGCATTTTAGGTCAGTGCATGATTTGTCTTTGTAGTTTTTATTTATTTAACTTCCACAAGTTACAGTTTTAAGTTGGATGTTAACACTGCAGTCAGAAATGCTCTGCACACTCTTAATGGTGGCATTACGTATTCCTGGACAAGGGGAGAGGAAATCGAATATTGAAGAAACACACCTTCAAGCAAGAGCACAGTTAAAAAACAGTATTTTATTAGCAAAAACAAGTATAAAACAAGCCCAGGAGATTGATTTGACAAAAGAATCTGATAAAACATCAACTGGCTTTACTTCTTAACGTAAATTACTCATGATCTGGCTGCAACATGATGTGTTTTGAGTGCTTGGCATGTTTGAAATAGGTATAAAGAAACAGAATATTTGATCTGTTTCAGATCAGAGTACAGAGGCTGACTGAACTGCAGAACTCGCACAGTATGAATGCATGAGATGATGATCATGTTTAATTGTTAACTTGCCTAGTGGACTTGAATATTACTTGTTTAACTGCTAATGTTTTTGACAGGGCAAAAAAGATGTTGCGCAAATTTTCAACAACATTCTCAGAAGGCAAATTGGTACAAGAACTCCCACAGTTGAATATATCTGCACTCAACAGAATATATTGTTCATGCTATTAAAAGGGTATGTACACTGTGAAGAATAAATATGCTTTTACATGAAGTAAGAAGTTTTTAAAATCATGGAGAAGCAGTGAGTTCTGAAATGGTTTATCTTCCTTTGCAGTATGATTGATTTTGTGGTGTTTGTTTTTTTTGTGTGTGTGTGTCTTGGGCTCTGTAATTCCCCTAAATAAAGGAAAATTGGAGTAATAAACCACCAAAAGTATACTTTTGCATGAAATATGACTGAAAATTTAGAACTGTTAATAACCTAAAATATTCTTACTGGGGTAGTGCAGACATTTTCCTTTCAGTATGCTATTTGATCCTGTTTAAACTTTTTCCTTGTAAAGTCACTCGTCCATCAAGAGTTGAAGGCTGGTTTTTTCCTTTAAGCACTGTCATTTCCAGTTTGCTGTCCTATCCCCTGCTCTTAGTTTGGTCTTAGACTTTTTGCTCATAGTGATTTATATTACTGTAGTGACACAAATGCGCCAACTGAAACTTGACCAAACAAAGAATGATTTGGAGCATATGGTGCATGACAGATGGCTGTTTCCTTATCTATTCTTGTATTATTTGGTGTGTTGGATATTGGAGAATCACGCCATACTGAATACACGGTTGCACATGTAGAGCTGTGGATCTCAAACATGAAAGCAGAAAGGTGGTGTTAACATTTTCATGTTAAAATAAGATTTTTAAAAAATTGAGAATGTGCTCTTTCCATTTAAAATGAATTGCTCATGTTTCTAATACCATTAATTTAGAAAGTTCTGAAAATTTCAGTACCAATGTGTTATTTTGGGATAGAAAAGTTCATCAGGCATTAATAAACCATTTTAAAAATGCAGCTATTTCAAATACTAGTTTTATGATTTGTGTTAAAGCTGCAGTTGAGAGTACTTATTCCACCTGCTGGGATAGCTAGAGGACGTATGAAAAGACCATACTTGTCAGTGAGATACTTGCCTGTGTTATGTTGGTAGCATCGAGATGTGAGGATAATCAAGTGTATTTTCAACATTTAAACGGGAAGCTTTAGTGGCTTTTTTTCCCTTTTCCCTCCTCCTAGTTCATAGTAGTCATTAGAGATGCTGGCTGCTGTGCCACATACATGGTGTGTTAGGCTATTTTATTGTACCATCTCTACGTTTACCCAATCTTGGCCATTTGTGTAAGCCACTGGAAAACGAATCATACAAGAAGCTTTCTTTGTGGAGAAAGCTGGGGGTTTACATCTTTTAGTTTCATACTGACTCCAAAGGTTTGGTAGCAGATCAGTATGGAATATCTGCTTCAGTTCATACAAGTGTAAGATCTGTACTCATCTGCCACAAGTGCTTTGTTAGTGTTTACCCCCCACCCCCCCATATTACAGCCCTGATTTTGGGGGGAAGTGAGATTTAAATGTTAGAGGGACAAAAGGATTATTAATTGTAGCATAACACTAAAGAAAATACTGATTCAGTACTTCTTCAAAATAGTTTTCAAGAGAAGGCAAAGACATTTGAGGTGCAGAGAGATGAAACTACTTTCTCAGCATGCTCTCATTGATGTGTGACTGAATGAGGTTCTGTAACACATTTGTCCTAATTTTTGGTCTGTGTTGTCACCCTTTAGAGAGCATTATTCTCACAGGGATTGCTGAAACAAATATTCATAAGTCAGGATGTTTGAAATGGGCATTTAGTTAGCTTTAGTCTCTTAAATGTTACATCTGATGCCCAACTGAGTCAAATTTATGTAAATTTAAACTATGGGATGAGTTACAAAAAGTTCAGTAGATTTCAAATATCCATGACAGGTTAAATGAGAAAGTGTTGCAGGGTTTAACATGAAAATTAATTCATAAGAAAATGTTTTTGTATGGTAATATAGTTAATGCTTATTATGCACAATGATATGCTCCTGAATTATTCCTGTGAATTTAAATTAGCTTCCAGTGGTATAGGATGAAGGATTCTTTAGGTGGAAGGCAGGAAGGTATATAAAAGGCTTTGACTGCTCCAGAGCCAGGTGGGTAACAACAGACATAACTTTCCTGTAGACCGGGATAGCTTGTATTGCAAAATGCTGAAGTGAGTTCTTGGTTTGGAAAGGCAGTTCCATCTTCTTCCAGGGTCTAGTATTAGCTTGCTTGGGAAAACAAGGAGCTAGTAGCAAGTACAAAGGTGTATTTCTGTCAAATGTATCTTAAACACGCTGTTGTGAGATTTTGACAGCTGCTCGTGGTGTATGCTGAAATCAGCTGAGAGAACCCCGTGGTATTTGAGCAAGAATGCCTGCAAGGAAATGTAGCAACAATTTCTAAATGAAACCATCAGGGATGGCTTCATCACTTCCATCAAATCAGTGATGGACATGTTCCAGAGGTCTCTTGTAAGGAGGTGCAGATACTTTGCTAGAGACAATAAGGACTGAGGCACAGAGAAGGTGTTCAATATTGTCCTTGCAATGACAGCACACTGTTGCCTGCATTTGAAGCTTGAAGTCTGTGATGTGCAGAGTAGCTGATGATGCTGAAAAACGGTTTAAGAAAGAGGAGACATGAATTTATGTCCAGTATTATTAACCCTTCATGCTCATATCAAGGATAGTTTTATGTAAATTGCTGTCATGTTTAAGCGAACAGCTTAAAAAGACACAAATTGCTGCTTTTCCAGATGTCTGCAATCTCACCAATATAAAAAAAGAAAACTGATTTTGAGTATGAAGAAAATATTTTTATTTAGTCTTGTTTCTCAGTTTGTGCAAGTTAATTGTATTGGCTATAATTTGGCATTTAACTGTCAATCATTTCAATAATATTTCTAGAAGTATTTAGAAGTGGAGTTCAATGCAGAAATAACTACCTCTAACTTTTTGAATTTTGTTTACTTGATAGCGCCGAAAACTGTAATTAGCAGTGTGGTGTTGCACTGCTAACTTGTGAAGGTATTTACAAAGAATCTTTGGTTTGTTGTTTTGGTTTTTTTGAATAGGTACGAATCTCCAGAAATTGCTCTAAATTGTGGAATAATGCTTAGAGAATGCATCAGGCATGAACCGCTTGCTAAAATAATCTTGTGGTCAGAACAATTCTATGATTTCTTCAGATACGTGGAAATGTCAACATTTGACATTGCTTCAGATGCATTTGCCACATTCAAGGTAATTTACATACAACATTTGAATTGTTATTTCTGTAGTTCTCCTCTATGTAAACCCAGATGATGTGTGTTAAATTCTTGGGCAAAACAAGGCTAGGTAGAGGGGAAAAAAATAATAGGTGTGATGCAAATGGGTAAGCTGGACACTGTTCTTCCTTAGTTCTCAGAGTGCAAGATATACCTTTAAATATATATGTGGTGTTCCTGATAACTTTTATTCTAGAAAGCAAGATTTAAACTGTCATGCATTAGCTGAATACACGTGCACTTCCATGCCAGCTGCTTTTAAATCTGTGTCTCCAACTCCTGAAGTGAGCAAACTCCTTTTCGTTTTGTTACGGACCTGAGTATATTTGATGCTGTTGCTTTGGGGAAATTTTTTGTTGTCCTGAACGAACCAGTTTTGGGACTATAATCATAATATTGATCAGTATTAAATAGTGGGTCTTAACCTTGGTTATATATAGTTCTGTGCAGAGCATAGCCTTGATCCATAAATGACATTCTTCAGAGATAATTCAACACGCTATTTACCTGTGTGAATTAACATAACACATCGCAGACCTTTCCTAAGTGATGCCAAAATCCTTAGCAATGTCCAAGTAACTGCATTCATGTCCTAAATTTCTTTGTTTAATGAAATAGCAAATTTTTGTTGGATGTCGTATGTGTGCTCACTGTTTAATGAGAATGTATATGTACTGTTTAAATATTGTAGTGAAAATATTGGGTTTGTGCTTTTTTTTTTTACAGGATTTGCTGACAAGACACAAGTTGCTAAGTGCAGAATTTTTAGAACAACATTATGATAGGGTGAGCAGATCTGTTTTAATACTGAGAATTTTCTAGTGCTGTGTATATTATTCAGAGATACCAGTATTTTCATTCCTTATTTAGCTTTGGTTTTGGAAATTTACATACAGTGTTAAACCAGTTGTACTTGCAGTAATTTCTGCCCAGCAGTAAAATTAAGATCAAGACCGTATTGTTTGGAAAGGTGTAAAAACGAGAGAAGGCGGCAGAAATCTAGTTCTGTGAAAACTAGATCTGATTTTTTCCGCTAGAGGGAACCCTTTCCGCGTCTTTTTGACTGTATGAACCCGTAACAACCAAAGAAGGCAAGATAGCCTTCCTCCACCTGCTGGGGACTCCTCAGATTGATGAACAGTGTTCAGTACCAGGAACTATTATAGTTTAAGAAATAATGACCTAACTAATTCCAGCACATTGCAATCTAAACATTAAAGACTCCTAAAAGAGTAAAGATTTTTTTTTTAAGGCATATACGATGTTTACACAGTAGTGACTTACAGGAACCTACTGAGATTTCAGTTTTTGTTTACATTTTTGTTATGCTTTTGCATGTCCTCCAGTTTGTTATAATCATTTGGAAGAAGAGTGTGTGTGACACCTGGAAAGGTCCTAACCCTTCTCTTTATTCTGTATTTAGTTCTTCAGTGAATATGAGAAGTTACTTCATTCGGAAAATTATGTGACAAAGAGACAGTCACTTAAGGTAAGGCAATTTAATTTTCTTCTTAAACGCAAAGTTAAGAGAATTCCCTTAATTTTAAGGTGGGCTGACTTTAATTGAAATGGCTTCAGTAACTGCCTTGGATGGTGTTTATTTTAATTTTTTATATGTTTTAATTCTTGGGATCAGCTACTTTTCTTTTGTCCAGTTTTTCTTTGTTTTTTTTTTCCCTTCAACAAATCCAGACACATGTAAATAATTTAATAAAAATTCCCATGTTGCGCCTAGAGCAATACTGATCTTACATTCAAGTAGGTAAGAAGTAGTGAATTTAAATATAATACATAACTTGTAGCAAGGATGGTACCTGTGGGAAATATCCTTTTTACTCCCTTCTGGACAAAGAAGGTAGTAGCAAAAGAAGTGTAAATATTTCTTATTTGAAGTACTAATGTTTTTTTTCAAAGCGCATTCTTATTGGTGATGTATTGCTTCTGTATAAATGAAAAAAATAATGAAATCATGGGGGAAAAAGAATGAAAGACATTTCTTTCAATTCCAGTTCATAACAAAGGGGGAACAAAAGGCGATTTTTCACTTGTTGAGAAAAAGGAGAAACTACATCATCAAAATAAGAGGAAAATGCACCCTGCACTTAGAAATTCAGGACATTTGAGTTCTGTCGTTACTATAGATACAGACTGGTGTGAACTACTAGGTGTGCTTGAAAGCATTTAAGAAAAAGTTGTTTCTTATGTCCAGTGTCAGTCATTTTTTCCTTTGGGCTTGTTTTCCACTTTTAGCTTCTTGGTGAACTGTTGTTGGACAGACATAACTTCACAATTATGACGAAGTACATCAGTAAACCTGAAAATCTCAAACTAATGATGAACCTTCTACGAGACAAGAGTCGTAACATTCAGTTTGAGGCCTTCCATGTGTTTAAGGTATGTTTAAAAAACCCCACAATAAAGCAAACAACAAAGGAATCCCACCAGAAATTTAGTTGGGTAAACTACTTAGCTGAGCCTAAATGGAGCTTATCTGAATGTCTGCTAAGTGGTTGAATAAAGAGAGAGCTAATGTTTGTCTTTGTTATGATCCATCTTTACAAATAGCTGCCTTTGTATCTTTCAAAAACTGTTTAGAAACCACTTAGAGACTCATGTGATTGTCAGTGTAATCTCTGTTAGAAAATTTTGGAAATAAGAAAGATAAAGTGCAGTAAGATAAGGAGAAATGCATGATTTCACGTGAAATCATGAGACATCCTGGAGTTCAAAAGAGTTTTCATCATGCTGCATGTTCTCTGAAGGATAGCAATATTTTAGTCAAGTCATCTAAATTTCGAAACCTAAATTGTAATTTGCACGTTATAACAGATACCTTCTGACTTTGCAGCAGGCAAGCAAGTAGCTAAGAGCTTGGAGGTACAACTTGAGGTATAAAAGTTTTCAGTGAGCTTTCAGATACCTGTCTGATGCTGTATATGATATGAAACCATGCATTTGCTGCCAAATGTAGTCATGAGGTGTCTTCAGTGGTTCCTGCAGACAGTATTGTGGCTGATCACCTCCCACAAATTTAACTTACTTTGGTACTGGTGTTCAGCTTCTTTCTAATAAAAAAACATAAAGTAATTTTATTTTAAAACTTGCATTTACTCCATTATTTTTTCTGTAGAGTTACTGGAATACGGAATAATTAAAACATATTTTTAAGTTACTGTCATCACTGTTTTGTTGGCTATGTTTGGTTTTTAACTTAGCCTTCTGTTCTCTATTATTACGCTAAATGCCTTTTGTTTTCTTGCAGGTGTTTGTAGCCAATCCTAACAAGACACAGCCTATATTAGACATCCTTCTAAAGAACCAGACCAAACTTATTGAGTTCCTCAGCAAGTTTCAGAATGACAGGACCGAGGATGAACAATTTAATGATGAGAAGACCTATTTAGTTAAACAGATCAGGGATTTGAAGAGACCAGCACAGCAAGAAGCTTAATCTCCAATAAACCCTTAAAATATTAAACCCAAATTCAGCATTTGCTGTTAGATATTCAGCATCAGGCACTCTTATCGATTCATGAGGAACATTACTGCTAATCTGCTGTTCAGTGAACGGTTTTTGTTTTTCTCTTTTCTTTTTTAGTCCAAGTTGAAAAACATAGCTGCTGCTTTCTTGCACAATGTGGACTTTCTTGATATTTGTGTCATTTCAGAATTCAAAGACACTGCTTGTTTTAGGAGTCCTGAAAAGAAAGATTCTAGGTTCGTGAAAGCAAACATATAGATACTAGTTTGGTTTAGGAGAGAAGGTATTAATGTAGTTAAGTAACAGGTTGCATGCTTGCAAATCTGAATAAATCTGTATGTTTGCACTTACCTTGTTTGAGATATGAGCACAATGTGACCTGTGCATACCTGGCACCATAGTATAAGATTATATGCCTTGATTTAAAAAAAAAAATGTGCAGTGCTTTATTTGTAATCAAAGGGGAAATGTATCTAAGATGTGAGCTTATTGGGATAAACAGTTGTCTTGCAAATAAACTGATATTGAAACTTAGCAACTTTTAAAAGAGTGAAATCTCAAGGTTCATAAGGAAAATGTATATATGCTTTTCACTGCTTTATAGAAACTTTTTTTTGACATGATTTGATTTTTCTGAGAATTGACTTGTAAACTTGGAAATATGTTCTAAGGGTTTTTGTTAATTTTACTTTAAAGGTATTTCAGACAGTAGACCTAGCAGTGACATTTTGCATTTCATTTCAACAATGCTTGCTGGTTTCTTTTGTATATAACTCCTAGGCTGCTTATTTCTTTAAAATATGATTTAATTTGTACAGCAGAGGAATGTTATTGTATTAGTCTGTAACTATTACCTAATATTGAGTTTTGCAAAATGAATGCTCATATGTAATTGAATACTTCAGATCACATGGAAATGCTGATTTAACAATCTTAAGTACTGCAGCATTAAAAGGAAAAAAAAACCCCAAACAAATTCTTTGTATTCACTTATCTAATGGGGTGCCATCAATTAGGGTAGGCTGAAATAGAGAACTGGAACCCTTTATGCTATGTTCTTACTGGATAATATTGGCCTTATTCAATTAAACTAGCGTTGTGCTCACCAGCTCTGCAAATGGCAAAGATTATGCTAAATTAATATAGATTCCTCTTATTTCTGGGGAACCTGCAGTGCATAATTTCTTTCTTACAGTAAATAACTCAGTACAGTAGTTGTGCAAGTGAATGATTTAATTCCCTCCAACTTCTTAAAGAAACAATTTCATAGATGTCCTGGGGTAACAAAATGATTTAGTTTTGTTGATTTTGTTCTTTAATGCTGCAAACTATCAGTATTTATAAAAACAAAAAACCCAACTGATTTTGCACCACGTTTTTGTTACTGTGACCATACAAAAGGAAATGTACTAAATATAGCTAAATGATGTTACTGAAATTATATCTATCCATCATATAGTAATGCTAAGAACACAACCAAACAAACTTAGGGATTGGAGTTGGAAAGTTCAAATTCTGCATGACCGAATCTGATTGCGAATGCTGTAGAAAATGTTTGTTGCTTCCTGTCCTCTTCCTAATTAAAATATTTTGCAATCAGCAAGGTGAAACTCCTAAGTGACGTTTAAGCTGATTTGAAAGCCTTCACAAGGGAAGTCAGATAGCTCCAGAAAATTGAGTGTTCTCACTCAGTTGTTTAAAATTGCTCTTAACATTATAATTGGTCTTTTAAAGGTTCCTAACATGTCCTTTGCAAACAGATTCATTTTGTCTACAGGAAGGAAAATAGTCTACTCTTACTGAAGATCACAGGCAGGAAGAATTGGCCATGAGATGGTGTTATAGTTCAGTACTAACAGTCTATTATATTTTGGTTTATCATAGCTGAGTGGAGGAAAACATTATTTGCCAAGTTACTCAACATATAAGGCTTCCTCTTTAGAAAAATGTAGATGTGCTAAAGATTTATATATGTAAAGAAGTGAAAACATTTGGACTGGGATAGAGGTTACTCTATAGTAGGCCTTGGAAACAATGGCTATGGTGACTTTTTTAATATGTGGAAACATTTGAATGTTGGCTTTCGAAAAGAAGTTGTATTTAAATTAAAGCTCATTTGACGTGCTCTTCGTATTAAAAAACTTGTTCTGGAAGTGATTTCTTACCTGCTTGAAGGCTTAAGGTTATTACTAAAAGTTATTTAAATGTGAGCGGTTTTTGGTTGGCTTTTTTTTTTTTTTTTTTTTAAAAAGTAAGAGATGTATACAATTGTAATTCTACTTCCATGGTAGCATTTCATTTCTCCTGAGGAAAATGCGTTTCTTACCCAAAAAATCTGGCTGACCCCATAATTTAAATTGAAATAAAATTTTGAAGAAAAATGTGTGTTCTTTACTGTGTTACTGAAGAGGATGAGTTTCTTGTGGATGTGTATCTGTGCTCCTCTATTGCCTTAGAGGGGTTCAGCTTTCTCCCTTTTAAATGTGAAATAATTTTAAGTCATGAAAAACTCTGACCTGCAAAAAGATTTTTAAGGAATAAAGACAAAGTGCTGTATTAAGAAATGTAATCAATTGTAATTAATTGTTGGTAGCCTCTCTTGCCTATTTGTAGCATTACTTGCTGATTCTATTCCTTTTTTGCCCAACCAAGAGCAAAGAGAGGAGATGTTCCTGTGTCACGTGTAGAGACAGGACCTGATAGGATTAGTGGAAGTGAGTTCTCGATAATTTTCAGCCCTTCCCTTCTCTAAATTTCAGGAGCTGAGTGTGTGTGCAATTGCTAACTCTTTCCTTAGGAAATCCTGTGGTCTCTTTGCCTTTGAACCTGTCTGCCTTTGTTTTTCACAGGTGATGCCCCAAGTTATACAGGGTGGCAAATGTCAAGAGAGTGTGCCATTTAAAAAAAAAAAAAAAAAACAAAAAAAAACAAAAGCAAACATTCAGGAGTTTTTGATGCAGATTCTTCAGATGGTTATTTTTAGCAAAATTACTGAAAAATCTGGTTTCCTGCCAGGAACACACCTTGCGGACAAAAATATTTGGTCTTTTGTAGTCTCCACTAGAGGCTGCACCTGTTTGAGCCTTTATATATAACGTTAGTATTTTTCTCCTTCCTTCGCAGTAAGATCACAGGTTACAAGGGGAAAGAAGAATTTATACT